AAGTGGATTTTCCAAAGGTTTTGTATCTTTTCCTATTAATAAAAACCTGCTCTGTGACTGAAAAGTAATTAAGCAATATATAAACAATTAAATGACAAGTAAGTTCCTATTTTTTAATATTTTAAATTTCTCTGTTTTACATTGAGTTCTGTGAATTAACAAAACTTGGTTTTATAATTACATTAGTTTGGCATAACAGAGCTTTCCTATAATTTTATACATTTATTTTTTACAATTTAAGCCTAAATAGTCATTCTGACAGATTTGTTTCATTTACTACAGCAGCATTTATTCATCACGTAGAAAAAATGAGACTTGTTGTTGAATTTGTGATTCTTTTGCATACATTAAGGAATATCAGGATTTAAATTGTAGATAAACTGACAGAAAGGGTAGTTTCACTGTTGAGTGAACTTAATATAAAATGAGTCCCATAATATAAAAAGAGTTTGACTTCCCTGCTCTGTGTCACAGATGTTAACACTGAAATGCATAAAAATTCCTTTTAGAAACTGGAGTATTTACAAAGAAAAAAAAAAGAAATTAAATTTTAAAATTGCATAAATACATTTTTATAATTTGCATGATTTTTGCTACATCCATAGATTATTTAACACTGACGATGTAGAGGTCTCAAAGCTCACAAAAACACTTGCATCGAACATGCCACACTTTGCTTCACTGGGCTGAACTGGTGCAGCTTTCCCAATGATGATGCTACGATATCTTTAGGCTGCGGCACTTGAAGTGTTGTAAAATTGATTTGGTTGCAGCTCTGAAAATTTCATGTGGATCATCTAAATTTTTTTCAAGAGTATGTGTACAGCCTACTAAAAGGCTTTCCATCTGGGAGTGTATGATGCTGAAACTTCAGTCTGTGGTGGCTTTGACCGCTGCAGGACTCTGAATGCCTCGGACTTGAATTTAAATGTTTTAGTAAATATTTCTTTTGTGACATTTTATTCTGAAATCAACTTTAGAAACACATAAAAACAACAGTTACAGGGATTATGTGCTGAGCAGGGGTCACATATTCCTGATAAAAAGCTGACTCTAACCATTTCATATCGCTTAAGATTTAATTTTTTGCGTCTTTTCAGCCTTTCAGTAGAACTGAAGCTTTGCATGCTTTCAGATTCACACACAAAATATGAAATAATATTTCTCAAAGTCAAGAACATTGTTTCACGCCTATTAAAGCCAGTGTAAAGCCAGGGGTAACCCCCCCCCCCAAAAAAAGACAAAACAAACAAAAAACAAAAAAAACAAACAAACAAAACCCAGGTGTAGCAGAAAAATATACATTAAAAAAAGTTGATAAACTACAGCAGCAGTATTAGAAACAGGTAGCAATGAAAGCTGTTAATAAGAAGTAAGAAGAGTGGTGTACCTCCCTCAGTCTGTTAGCTCACAGTTAAATATTTTATCACAAAGATCATCCAGTAAATAGTCGTGTCCAAAGTCCAACATTTGCCTCTAGTTTAAACTTTGAATTAACAAACCTGTGGTAGATTTTAAGCCCTCTAATTACCTTCATATTAATAACCAACAATCTTTAAAATATAAAAGGAGTCCTAAGAAAATATAGGAAATAAATGCACTGTTAAAAAATAGTTAAATAATTAGGAATATATATGAAACAGGTTAAAAGGCTCAACACGCAGAGCAGGTACAGAATAAAGTCATTAGTTGTGATTTAAAATATAATTATTGATATTTGTTGTACATATCTCTTTTCTACAGTCATGATGATTCTGAGATGACTCTCTGACTCTCCCCTTTCTATCTCTGAGGATGAATATATTTTGTCAATGCTGGTTTTTTGTTTTTTTGGTAACAGCTGCCTTCATTTTCAGAGATCAACAGTGCCACCTGTCAGTGATAAACTGTAACTACAACCACAAGACTCCTGACAGCGAGAACAAAGGAAGAGGAATCTCTCCCTACATGATTAACAGCACAGACACAAAGACATTCACACTTATCTCCAGACGCCTTTTTGAAAGGCACCTCCTGAAATTCAACTCAAAGGGGGAACATATTTCAGAGTTAAGGCAGTTTTTCCTAAAAAAGTCAAAAAAGTGTTTCCAAAAATACCAGAACCTGTATAAATGCTCCGCAACGAGGTTTTAGCCAGCAAAAATCACCAATTCCTTTCTTAGTCAGATTCTTTAATTGGCGTTTCTTTTACTCATGTACAATATTTCAGGGTCATGAATGGTCAGAACCAACAGAAAAATGTCTCTCTCAAAAAACAAAGTTGTCGTTATGGTACAAGGACTGATTGCGTTTACAGGACTAGTCACTCCTTAAAGGCCGGTTCTGAGCTTAAAAGGTAATATTTGGGGGAACGGTGCATTTTTAAATCCATCTGTTCCTGTAATGAGACAGGGAAACAAATAAAGGTGCTGTCCTTAATTAATTTAATCTGTTGTCAGGTCGCTAAACGCCGAGATACAAAGCTGGGGGAGGGATGTCGCTCTGTGTGTGTGTTTACAGAGAGGATAGTTTCCCCTTACATAATAGTTTTGTTACTGAATTGAGTCCTTAACCTGATTCGTATTGATCAGCTCTGACTCGTGCATACTTAATTCAGGGAGGTAATCAAATCAAACACACAGACCTCCTCCTCCTCTGCCCTCTCTGGCTGCTATACAGCAGCAGACACATTTCAGGTGTTAATCAGTGACAGGAAAACTACAGTTACTTCATGCTGGAAAATGGTGGTCCCTCGGCACTCTGATCTAGTCAGAGAGGGTCAATGCAAGTATGGGGCTAAAATGCAGCTTTACACCAAGATAAAGCAGACAGCTCCAGCCCAAAATAATCCAAATCTTTGATTCAGGCGGAGGTCGTACACGTAGAGGCAGTCAGCGAAAACAAACACTTACAGGTAAGGAGCAGGCATCAGGTTAAAAACAAATAGCTTTAAAGGTCATACACGAATAAAAAAACCCAACAAAACCAGAAAATCACAAAGAGCTGCTGAACTGCAACGAGAACAAAAAGTGGCAAGAAAGTCGAGCAAACAGGAGGAGAAAGACTGGAGGGCTGTGTATATGTATTAGAAGGGCTGATTGGCTAATTGGGGACAGGTGTGGTAGACTTAGCACAGGTCAGTCTACCTTCAACTTGCTGGAAAAACATCACATAGAAGCTTGTTTCTTCCACTTAAAATAACATTTTTTGGCAACCAGAAGTCACCATTTGGGGTTATTGTCTCAAAAGTTCAACTTAATAACTCAAAATTTCAAGTTATTTTCTTGATTTTGAGTTAATTTTTGAGTTATTACATTAGAGTTACTCAAATGTAATAACTTAACTGTTTGTTTTTTCAGTGGCAAACTCTACTGACTCCTTTAAAAAGCAGCTGGAGAGATTTTTATACAAACGGGCTTTTAATTAATTTTAACTTGTATGTCTGATCTTATTGTAAAGCACTTTGTGATTTTTATCTGTGAAATGTGCTATATAAATACATTTTACTTACTTACTTACTAGAAACAAGTTTATGCAATGACAATCAGATAGTGCTTCCTTTTGAATTATGGAAAGAATTATGGAAAATAAATGTCTGCTTTCCTCTCATTAAGGATGCTCCAGTGTATCTTCTGCTAAAGGAAGTAAAAAAGAAAGCACTGGAGTAACTTTCCTTACTATTTAGAGAATCCTACTAGCTGTTACTGTGACTGTAAGAAGATATTGCCAGGCCACTTCACTAAGTTAGGATCCTTAAAGTTTAAAGCAGACATGAGAATAAGAATGAGTGACTTCAAATATTAAAGGTCACGTTTTGAGCATTACATGATGTGCTTTAGGCAGGCAGATGCAAAACTAAAGTTTTTTTTTTCTTTTTGGAAAAAGGTGCACAGAAAAAACAAGTACACCATCTTAACATAATCAGAGGTTGGAAGAAACACTCACAGCAAGGTGGCAAGTAAAGCAAACACAGTACACAGTCCTGATGGTTTTAAACAAAATCACACATAAGAGTATATCTGTCATAATTCAACAGATGAGAATTTAAAGTTCTGGTTTTCACTTTAAGGTAACCTGATTAAATCTACCATTTGCATCTTGCCTGACTGACTGCAGGGTATTGAGAGGAAACCTGCTGCTGTGTGCACATATTAACCTTTCAAATAGGTGTTGATGGCGTTTTACTGTTGTCTATAATATCCTTGTGTATTTTTTGCTATTAACTTATTAAATGAGGACTGTAACAACACGAAAAGAGATGAAGAGACGTCAGACATTGTAGTTTCATCTGGTTTTTACTGAAACTAATATATATTATGTAAATATTTGTAATAAGTGTTTCCCGGATGTTTTCTTATGTGCAGATGTTGATTCCTGCTCTCCTTCAGCCTATAGAAACCACTCCTGTAGGAACTTATTAGTGTTGTTAGTTTAGTCAGGACGTGTGAATAACTAACGTCCTTCTCCTGCTCTAAATAGTGTAGGATGCTACACCCAGCCCTGTGCTGCAGTGCCTTTTTGAGTCTATCCACACAAACCTTCTGACATGGATTTACCTTCAGTCTATCTTTAGGATTTACTGGACCTGGCTTTCAGTGCAGTCTTACTCTGGTTGTTCACTTTACACAAATAAAGCTTGATTGCCAGATTTTACCACAGTCTATACAACCAAATCCATCAGGAAAGGAACCAAGTAGGCTAGAGGTTAAAGCACACTTAGATACCAAACGATCATGCAACTCCTGTGTTTTCTAATCAGTGAAACATCATAGCATGAGCCATGTAAGTAAAGTTCAGCCCGGTGGCACAGTGGAAAACATGGCGAGACAGAAGGTACACAGATCAGATCAACACAGGAACATGAGCATCTGTAAACAAGACCTTCTGTTTGTGTTTCGTGTGAGGGACACTGCAAGATCCCCCTCCAATATTTAACTGTTGTTCAAATACAAACAATAACACTTTTCTATTTTTCCCCTCTTATTTTTTCTTTCCCCCACCCTCTCACACTTGCTTTGCAGCGTGCAAGAGGAAGGAGCAGGACACGTCGAAGGACCGCAACAATACGCCAAAGAAGTCGCGGCTGGTCTTTACCGACTTGCAGCGGCGCACCCTGCTGGCCATCTTCAAGGAGAACAAGCGGCCATCCAAAGAGATGCAGCTCACTATCTCGCAGCAGCTGGGCCTCGAACTCACCACCGTCAGCAATTTCTTCATGAACGCCCGCCGCCGGAGCCTGGACAAATGGACAGACGACGGAGCCAGCCCTGGCGGCCAATCTTCAGCGTCAAGCACTTGTACCAAAGCGTGATAATAGAGAGCGAGGAGGGGAATGGGGAGTCGGGGAGGGGGTGGGAGTTTTGGGGAGGGATGGAGGGCGCGGGTTGAGGTTTCGTCCAGTTGAAGCGTGGAGGAAAACCAAACTTTTTACTTTTTTTGTTTGTCTGGTTTTGTTTTGGGTTTTTTTTTTGCTTTTGTCAAGAGTGACAAACTGAGAGAGGGGCTGCTCACTGCCACGACTTGTTTTAGCCAAACCGCCTTTTGCAAATTCATCATACATCCATTAAGAAGCTGAAGGGTAAATTAATCTTTAGAACATTCAAACCTCACTGACGTTCACTGCTGATGTCTCCTTTTGGACAATAAGCTGACACGCTAGCCCAAATACCAAAGACGAGAAGACGATGCGTGTTTTCTATTATGCAATATAAGCTAGAAACCAACCAAACAGGAATGCAAGGAAAGCTTTAAGACCACAGAATGTGATAGAAGCTCGGGGATAAGCAAGAGTTGTGTGGAAATTTTGTGGTATTTCTAATCTCAAATGTCCAAAGCTGACACATCAGTTCACGAAAGAATCCTAATTTAGAAGCTGGGTTTCAGAAACTGCACAATCAAAGTTTGTTATTTATCTTGAAAACAGAAGGTAGTTTTTTTTCTTCACAGGATATCTGGTCAGTTTTCTTCAAAATAACATTAATAGTTACTCCAGCTCAGTATTCTGCTGATAAAAATGTATCAGTTTATCTGATATACAACAGCATTTTCAGGAGAAAAAAAAGTCTAAAAAATTTACAATAAAAACCTCATAATTTTAGCTGTAGGTTATGACTTCAATCTTTAAAAAAGTTTAGAGTTTTTCCTCATTCATTTCAGGATTTCTTATTTGTTATAAAATTCTTGATGTTCTTTTCTTCCTTAAACATTTTGAGGGGTTTTTTTTTTTTTTTTTGGTAAATTTCCTGCAAATTTCACACTAAAAATCTAGTTAATTTAGCCTTTTTTCTTGTAAATTTCCAAATCGTACCCCTCAAAATTTAGATTCAGCCTTTAATAGCTCAAAGAGTCTTTTATGTATTATTCAGGAAGATGTTTTGGCTGTGCAGTCTCTGTTTTTATCACAACTGAGGAGTTGATTTCTAACATGTTCTATACAAATTTTAATGTGAAAATAGAAAGCCGATCTCTTAAATGCATGCGATCAAGGTAGACTTCTATTTTGACTGAAAATAACCAACTCTTGTTTATAAAATGACAAAATTTCCATAGCTTTTTGGATAAAACATGTAAAGATTTGGCTCTTTAAAGGGGAAAGTGAGGATTTTCTTTTCTTTTTAAGTTAGGAAATGGCAAAATATGCAAGCACAAACACACACACACACATATATACACACACACACACACACACACACATACTCACCAAGGCACATGCAACTTCTTCATAATTTGAGCCAACTACAAGCTTTCTCAGCATATTTAGTGTTTGATGGAGTATTAGTGTATAATATATGAATATATATGATGTATGTGAGCACAATCTTGAAGCACATTTTCTTTGCAATAGAACCGGGGCTCTCTGCCAAGCCGAGTGGTCGTCACATCTTAGAAAACTCAGGATGCCATTTTTTTTAAACAGTGGCTGAAATCTATTCAGCGTCTGTTGTCACATAATGTACTGTACGAATGTACAAACAAACATGCAGACACACAAACAGATTTCAGACACACACACAACTTTAAAGAGTCATTTCCCAATCACTTCCCTGAATTCACAGCCAAACCAAAGCTAAGCTCCAGTTTACCCTTGCTTCACCCACCCATCACTTCTGTTACCATAAACTCATCCATTAGGGCAGCACACTCCACAAAGCATCTTAGCATTAATACCACCTTGGTTTGCAAAGAAAAAGGAGGTTTTCAAACCAATGAAAGTCAGACTAGAGCTGAAATTTATAACCATGTGACCAAAATCTGTGATCCTCAAGGTGGTGAACTAAAAGTAGGATGGGGATTTGAAGGTCAAATGATAATTTTAGCCTGGATTTACAAAGACAAAAGATAATATCTCTGGCTGGTCATTATTTAGATGGAACTCAAATCTGTTCAGATTTATCAAGTGATATGGCAAGTCTTCTTACTAGGCACTGGAAACCCCCCAAGCAGCACTTGTTTTTCCAAAATGGTTTTGTTCGCCATAGTTCAATATTATTAACATTAAATCTAAGACAATAAAAAATGTCAAGAAGTTCTGGGCTTTAAATTAGTCACCCACAAGAACCCTGCAAACATCTTGGCATTAAATAAGCATCGGCCAGCCGCTTTTTCTCACCATCTAGTTGCATCTATTCTGTTGCACTAGAGTTCATTTCTTATTGAACAAACACTAAGCAGATGACATTTAGGTTTATAATCTTGACATTATCCCCAGTTTAGATCGGAAAGATGCCACAAAAATGCTCCTACATTGGTTTCTTTAGACCCTTAAGTCAAAATTTGTGAAAAAAAGCACAACTATTGGGAAAACAAGGCTACGTTATGTTGAGAGTGATTTCTACGGCTCTTTTTTAGTCACCACAACAAATATTGAAACTAAACCTTTAACTTTTTAAGAATAAAGAATGTTCTGGATTGAAAATCTTTTGGTATAAATCCAGTTTTAAGCCAAGATGCTTTTTGGAAAGCTTTGATCTGCCCTCACTGCTACCACAGGTAAGCAAACCAAAACCTCCCACTGCATCAACACATCCACAGAACCAGATAACCATCTGAGCCCAAGAAGGACAAACTGTCCAGGCGAATCAGGGCCTTTGTAATAGTTAAAGAGGACAATCTAAAGACGATGCCTGGTTAGTCTGTCTCTTCCAGAGGGTCAGTGGGTTGGAAAAGAGCATTTGCTGCAAACAAATGATCTCTGATAAATGTGTACATCAAATTGTGCTGATTTATTAAGATAAAGCAAAAGCCAGTTGCTTAAAAGTTTGAGGACAACACTCAAAAATGTAGTTTGTTTGCAGCGTAGGAAAGTTGGATGCTTGGTAAAAGGGATGGACAGTCAACAGACAGATGGGCTGTGACACAAAAACTAGACTCTTCTGCCCATATTTGTGACTGTCTTTGTGTCCAAGCATCCATAGCTACCAAATCCTCCAATACCCATTGATTTGAAGGTTTTACTGTCACACTTTACAGCCTTTACACATGATGTAAATACTAACAAACCCACAAAACCTCAAGCACCATCACCTCCAGCTCAGTTTTGGCAGCCTTTATCATTTGCAGTCACTTCATCAATCATCTTTCACTCAAGCTATCAAACCAAAAAAAGAAAGGAAACCAAACCAAAGGAAACGCGCCAGTCAGCAGCCCCTGCTCCTTAGAAACCCCAGGCTGAGTCTTGGCCTGGTTAGAGGCAAGCCAAAGGCTTTAAGAACGATTTAACATTAAAAAAAAAAAAAAAAAGGACACTTAAGACTTTTTCTATTTATTGACAAATCGAAACCAAAGAAAACTTTTTTTCTGCACCTAACTGTTCCAACAAATGGGAAAAACTGATGATGGAAGAGAATTATTACCAAAAAAAAGACAAAAAGAAAAAGAAAAAAAGAGTGGCGCCGACAACGTCGAGGATGGAGGACAACGATGACAAGGGAGGATATGAGGAAGGATGACACCACGAGAATGGAGAAGTAGCTTTGTTCTGCCTGATATTAAGTCAGGCAATCTTTAAGGGGAAGCAAGTTGGGGACTGAAAAAGGGTAAAACCACATGGGAAGGAGGGAAGGAACGAACGGAGGACACCGTTGACCATTTTCTTCCCTTCGATCCACCCAAAAAAAGGCAGAACATTAATGTGTTTCTCACGGTTGAAGAGTGTCTTTAACGTGTGCCTATGCAGTTTTTCAAAGTAAAAAAAAGGTTAAAAGAACAACAGAAACCTCATCAGCTAACGAACCAAAGATTCACCGTTAACTCCAGTAGCAGTTCTCCCCCCCCCCCCAAAAAAAGGGAAAATACCCATTTTTGTTAACCAGCATGAACATACCTGCAGCATATGTACTGTTGATAGTGGTGAGTTGTTGTTTTTTATTATTATTGTTGATCACCTGTTATACATTAAACATTAAAGGTTAGCTTAAAGGCTAATTCAACTTGTTCGTTGGTTGACTTTAAAGCAAGTAGTATTACCTTCAGTCTAATTTTATTAAAACCAACAAATTCAGTCAATGTGTTTCATTCAAAGAACTCACTTTGATTATGAGTTAGCTAGCTGGCTTATACACTATTCTGGATTCTTATATTGGCTGATCTAGCTTGTATTTTAAAACAATTTGGATTTTCAGCAATCATTTAGCTTTATTAAAACCAACAACCTTTGCCAACATTTTTCTTTTGAAAACTTTACTTGGATTGCAAGCTATCGAGCTAGCTTATCAGATAGTTTTTAAGCTGTTCTGGAAGTCAGCATAAAGGCCATCACAAAGCCTTGTTTATCATTTGATTTTAAAACTAGTAGCATTTCCTTTATGCAGTTAGCCAACAAACTTACCCAACATGTCTCTTTCACATAACCCAGTTTGATTGTAAGCTAGGTAGCTAGTTACTTCTAAGCTTTTAAGGTCATGAGCTTGCAAATAGCTAATTTTATTTTCCTGTGGATTATTTACCCCAAACTTACAGCTTTTACTTTTATTGGTTGTTCCTTCAGCATGGCATCAATGTAGCCATCATTACCTGCAAACTTTACCACCAGACCACACCAGACATAAAAACAATCTTCTGCTGCACACCAAGGGAGAAATACTTGAGTATTTGGAAAATTCAAAAGCTTCTCCCTTTTACTTTTCACACAGGTCAATGTCTACCTCCAACTCCAATAGGACAACATATTTGAGCTTGGTGAATTAGCATTAAGAAACAACATCAGCTAGTTGTTATGCTTGCACCCAGTTTAAATATTCTAGCTAGTTGCTGTTGTCTAGCACACTTCCTGCTATGGAAAGAATGACAGCGGTAGTGCTATTTGAACTGTACAGTGCATACCAAAGATTTTTTGCTGTACTAACAGTAGCACACTGTCACTTTTCAATCAGTTTATTTTATGCCAAGTCTAACTTTGTGCTTTTCAACCCAAACCCAGCTAAATATCTGTTAAAGAAGAAAAAGCTGCATGCTGTTTAAGATGAGATTTGGACCACTTACAAACCTGTACAATAATCTATTCTATCATACAGTATATAACTATAATTACTGTAACCCTGAAGTAAATTTCAGCTGACAGACTAAAGCATGGCTGGCTAGGGTTAAAAAGTTTTTAAAGTTGGATAGAAGGTTTCTGTAAAAAATTGTAGCCCAACTTGCCATGCTGTAGGAGAAACCTAAAAATCCCCTTTCTGTAGCAAAGAAAGCTCATGTTAGCTTGTTCCTTGGGGGGAAGAACTATGCTGCTGCTCCGTGAATACAACAACAATAAATAAAACCAAACCAAAAAAGACCAAGTTGACATCTGCTGAGAGAAACTGCTAAAATATCGGTCAAATAGCTTTATCCTTAGTTTTCTCTCTGTCTTTCTGTATGTAAAGCTTCTAGTCCAAAGAAATCCTCCACCCACCTGGCTGTCCCGTCCTGCTAACAGCGCCCAAGGAGGGGGCGTGACTTACAGTTCAGGGGGTGGTGGCCATTTTCCATTCCTAGTTGCAGTTCGTCTGAATTTAATACAGGCTAAACCTGCCAAACTAACAAAAGATAAATGAAAATGAAATAGGAAGGGTATGAAACCAAAAACAGTCCCAAAGAGGTTTTCATTGCTTGTTTTTAAGTACTTAAAAATTATTTGCCAAATTTACTACTACTGTATTCCTTCTTAGGGTTTTTTTTTGTGTGCGTTTTTGCAAAATGCGATTTTTTTATTTAATGTAATTTATATTTTTAATTGTGAATTAATTTAAGCGAACACATTTTTGTTGCCAAATCTCCCTCTTAACCCTTTTACCCTTGATGATTAGCTTTGCCAAAGTTTACACTGTATTTTTCTTTTCCTTTCTGTTCGATGCTGTATTTATTTATGAGGTGTTTTAGAACACGCTAGTTTTGTACTTATTAATAATTTTATGTTATTTAATTAGATGTAATTGTTTTTGATGAATATTTATGAGTATTTAAGAATGTTAGGTGCATCAAAGATGCAGTGCATTTGCCAGGCCTGTTAATTTATTCTTAGCGAGCTTTACTTTAAAGCAAATGAGATGTTGTGTTATGAATGTTTAGACTTAATGACAGAACAATGTAGAAATGTCAGATTAGACTTGCGTACTTCTGAATGTGAACACTTGCTCTCACTCTTTAGCTAATTTATTTTTTGTTTGTTTGTTTGTTTTGTTTTTGTCCTGGTAATTATTTTTTAATTTTTTGTAATGAAAACAATCTCTTTATGACAAATATTAGCCTACCGAATGATGAGCACTGCATCTGTTTTCCTTTTCTTCCTTGTGATTTTTGTGCTTAATTTTGTTAATTTGTTTGCATCCTGCTGACCATTGTTGAACAAGCAATGAATTTGAGACTGATGTTCTAGTGACACTTGATCAGGTGAAGTGAAGGGCCACATGTTGATATGAACTGACTCGCCAAAGATAACTGGAGTCCTTGAGAGGCCAATAAACTGTGTGTGTTTACATCCACGCAGCTCACACCCTGGTAAAGCTCGTATTCGTATAACCACATGTACACTTCTTCAAAAGCATATTTGAAGTTGAATAGTGACTTTTTTAAGGTATATTTGTCACATTTTTAATTCAGCAAAACAAAAATAATTTATAAGAAATGGACTAAATAAAGAAAAATTTTAATTTACTTTTACAGCTGTAGGACATAATGTCAGATGTTTACCAGATATTTGTTTTATAGGGCACCTGTATATTGTATATAAAACATGGGTGTAACCACATTTTAAAGCCTCACTTTTTGGTTGTTACCATCTTGGTTTTATGAAGCAAAACATCACATGTGAAAAGTAGGTCAGAGAAAGTAAAAGCATACTCTACTTTATTGTCTCTTTTGCTTTAAATGCGACCATAATTTATAAAAAGTAACATTGTTATATCTTTAAGAAGACTTAAACTAAGACCATAAACTTATCAGAAAGGTTTGGGGCTTTTTTTTTTTACCATGGTTGCAAATACTGTGATAAATGGGGTCCTTTTCTTATGGACGTAAATGTAAAACTTGACTTCTTTTTGCAACCGGAGCAGCCAACCTCTGCTGACTATTATAAAGAAAGTATATTTAAGACAGTTATACACTGGCTTCACTTTCCAGGCTAAGATCAAAGGTTACATCCATCTTTTATATACAGTATATAAGTATTTTGCTGTCAAAAATTGATTTTTTTTTCTCAAGAAATCAAACCATATTCTCAAGCATGTCCTCTACAAACTTAAACCGTGTCCTTGCCCAGGCACTATAAACAGGATGTGAAATAACTGCTGTTATCAGGATTTCAATGTGTATGACTGCGTGAATGCTAACACACCAACTTGTTTCGCTTATTACAAAGGAAAAATGAGGAGTCCCTTAAAGCTAGCTGCTTCCAAGACTGACTTTGTCTGTTGTGTGTAAAAAGAAAAAAAACCTTTCTATTTCAATAGTGAGAACCAGAGAGGCTACCTCACTGACTTTCCATTTGTCCTTTTAATCGTGTTGATGAAACCAAAGAAACCAAAGATTTGTTTCCTCTTCGGTACGGTCTGCGCTCAGCTCCACGCTTTTGTACTTTCTGTTCTGTTTAATAATCCCACAGATTCTACATTTTCTTGTCTCTCTTATTCTTACTTTCTCTTTCTCACATTTACATGTTTCTCTTTTAGCTCCACTTGGCCTCTTATCCTCAAAAAGTGCAAAGAAGGTGAAAAGGCAGACTTTGTGTAGGCTCAGGCTGTATGCAGAATATCAGGGCTTTATCAGTTGTAGGGGTATTAATGTTCAAATGACTTCAACTAAGTCATTTGAACATTTCATGCGATGAGCTTCGGAGTTTAGATTCCAAATTCAGAAATACACTCAACTGAAGATCAAAAACAGCCCCATGATTTAATGTAAAAAAAATAGCATCTGTTATAAATATTTTACAGCTGAATGTAGTTGGTAAATTAACTGCTGGTAAATAAAAGGGCCTCAATATCACTTAAACTATGAGTAATGTCTTTAAAAAATGTAAAAATTCAATGTAATGTGATATTATAAAAAAGTCTGATTTTGTACAGTTCCTCTACTCATATTCTGGTTAATTGGCCTAAAAATAAGGAAAAAATAATAAACAAAGCTAAAACGTAACTGATAGTGTTTGTCTTTTCTAATTAATCTACTGCAACATTAATATTAAGAGTCACTGAGCTAAAATTGGACTTTGCTAAGGCCCGTTTCAACTAAACTTGACTGTATGACATATGAAGTAAGGCCTTTACTTTGAGACACAAAAGTAAAAATTACCAAAAATTATAAAAGAGCAAAAAAAAATAGTCCTTCAAACAAGTCCCAACACCTTGTGTATGAGATGTTTTCTGTTCAGACACCCACGTCTTGTTTA